TAACGATACACACGGTGGATGCGGGATCTTTGTTCACCAAAGTCCCCCTACACCATACGATGGATTATATGTGTGAAGTAGCTGAGCAATCTGGATATTCGTTACCTATTCCAGTCGAATATCTAAAGGCATCCTCGGTTTGGTGTACCGAAAATGTTGGCTTCCACTTTCAAAACAGACCAAAATTGTCAAATCTGTAGGGTGGTTGCTACATCCGTCGATGATATTGATTAGTTAGTTCAGCCACACCGCGTTCTTATTGGTGGTCCCCGCATGACCAATCAATAGTTCCTCACTCAGGCTTTAACTCGTGTGTCATGTGACTCACGTCGTACTGCTTCGCCTGATACACTTTGTTTCCTACCGTTTTTCGTCCTTGGCTAACTGCAGTCTGGGAGCGTGCTTTGCGTGAATTCGTTACTACGTATCAGTGGTAATAGGTAGACCACTAGGACCTTTACTCGACGTTTTCTTCATGCGGATGATGGAAAGGGGCATATTTACAGAAATGGCCAAGCTATCATATTGTAAGCGCTGTGTGGATGACATATGGGCCTTTTGTTCGTCGAGGCAGCAGACTGGGCAGTTGGTGAAGCAGCGTAACAGCGCACATCTAACTTGCGGGTCATTTGAGAGGTTGAACAGAACTGTCTGGCATTCTTGAACATCCTTATCAGTCGCAGGGGTGGCAGACACATTAAGAAGTCTGTCTACAGAGACGCAACATGGTCCGGCAAAGCCTGCACTACATCAGCTTCACACCTGTGCGGTACAAGCGGACCCTTGTGAAAACGAGTTGGTCATGCTAAACAAATTTGCTCGGCTGCTTGTCTGGCCGGCTAGCTATGGTAAATTGCAACAACATTTGTGGCGAATGGTTATCCTCGGTGATCTACAGAGAAACGCAGCAAAAAGTGAGGCTCGAATGACTTAGTGCATACGGCAGTCAAGAAAGTGATATATGTGGAGTTATGTTACAAGGGTGACTTTAATGTGTTAAAGACCACTAAACGCTTAATCTCCGCTGCTAGGAGAAGTTACAGTTCTACTCAAGTTGTGGTCATTGCGCGAACTCGTACCTTTCCGGTATTTCCAACGAAGAAAACTCAACCAATCTGGGCATATGCCAATTTCTGTTCAACTACGAAGTCAGTTACGTAGACAAATGATCGGCTTTCGCCCTCACGAACAAAGAAACGCGCCAACGTGGACTCGACATGAAAGTGACCAGAACTCTGCCTCCCTGCGTGCTTGCTGAAGCTGCCAGGTTTCTCACTATGTAAACACCTATTGGTCGCGCGTCACCTGACACAGCTTGGATCAGCTTCCACAATTGTGTTAGGTCATTCCGATCCCCGCTTCATCCGTTTCACTGAGGCTGCCGCTATAAGCCAAATGAAGCCGGCTCTGTTTTGTCAGCCATGGAGGTGGAACTTCCGCCATCTCCTTGGTACCTCACGCTTATTTAGTCACATCATTAGGTAAGTATATAACTGCATACTGGTTACTGATACTGAGGAGACAATACGGAACGCATGCTTCTAACGGCTTTCATCATTTTTCCCTACGCTTCAAATTGCTAAAGGGAACTAAGTGCTTTAAATTCACCATCTGTCTTTTTAAATTGCACTGCGCCACCCGATGAGCACTTCCTGAAAACTTATTGAGTGCAGTCACGTTAGCAGTAAGTATATCAGATGTAAAAACTAGATCAAGTATGTTGTTGACACAAGCGGATGAAAGTAGGTGCTGTTCCCAGAAATCCTTTGGAATGCAGTGGAGAACATGTTGTATCTCGGTGGTGTAGTACCCTCAGACCTGTTTATCTCTGACAGCTTAAAATCCCCAGCAACTAATTTGTGTTTTAATGATAATTCTGATGCATATCTGAAGACTTGTACCATATGTGCTGGTTCATCCTCATTGTGACTTGGAGGGTAGTGTACACAACCCAATGGTAGCTGTTGTAGATGTACGGAACTGGTAAGCCATACTGAATTATTAACATCTTCGTATTGATGTATGGTTAATAGGCATTACAGAAAGGAGTGTTTTAGGTAGGTCGCATGCCCATTTCCATTGCGAACCTGACGATTACACATGAGGCATTCGTATGTCTCAATGGAAAAGTGTTCAATCGTGTTTTTCTCATTACACCCTTACTCAGTTATGAGCACGTCTGGATTGAAAATTGGTACAAACAACTGAAAAAAGAATATTTTTGACTGTATGTAACGGAGATTAATTAGATATTATGTTATAGGTAGAAATTCGTCACATCTAGAATCACTCAGACAACTCAGCACTGTACGCGCGTTTCATCCTTTGGGGATTCATCAGCAGTGCGCATTCCATCGGACCCCTGGTAGGGCTCGAACCCGCAAGTCGACTGTTGCCAGTCCGTGGTTGAGACCACTAAGCTACGGGGGACGGCAACGACCATGGTGAATAAGTTACTAGATGTGATATAGCGCCGCTCACTATCCACTGACTTACACGTTCCTGCCGTGCAGAGGACAGAGTAGCCCCTCACTCCAAAGGATGGAACGCGCGTACAGTGCTTTTCCGGGCGTGTGGCGGCTGTCTGAGTGAGTCTAGATGTGACGAATTTCTACCTATACCATCCAACTCCCCCTACTACTCTTCTGTAATCAATACGCAGACCAAACTGCTTATAATGCCGCAAGTTAATTGGCGGCTTAAGTTTGGTAAGCTCGTCGCTTGGTGAGGGGCTACCCTGTCCTCTGCGCGGCAGGAACGTGTAAGTCATTGGATAGTGAGCGGCGCTATATCACATCTAGTAACTTATTCACCATGGTCGTTGCCGTCCCCCGTAGCTCAGTGGTCTCAACAACGGACTGGCAACAGTTGAGTTGCGGGTTCGAGCCCTACCAGGGGTCCGATGGAATGCGCACTGCTGATGATTCCCGAAAGGATGAAACGCGCGTACAGTGCTTTTCCGGGCGTGTGGCGGCTGTCTGAGTGATTCTAGTTGTGACGAATTTTCACCTATACCATACAACTCCCCCTAATGCTCTTCTAGATATTATGTGACGAGTAGGCGACAGGTGGCCAGATGTCGGGTTGGAAGTGTATACCGTGATGACCCCGTGCTAGAAATTGAGGAATAATGTCGGCATGGAGGTTATTGTCGTGGCATAGCAGGGAGGTGGCGGTCCAAAATGTGTATGGCTCAACGGAAAATGGTTGTTGATGTTCATGTCATTCATTTCACGTGGATTAAGCTAAGGACAAACTCATGGAAACGGGCTTTTTATGTGACTTATTTTCTGATTAATTTATTCATTGGAGTGAGTTCGACATTTCGATCCATGGGCCACTCACTTGTCATTCTTCTCCAGTCAGAAACAAAGCCCTTTGGGTAATTGTCGGATGGTATAGGTAATTTAGTTTTTGGGTGGGCCTCTGGCAAGAATTAAAAACGCACCGATGCTTTACCTGCGCCCAATACTTCCTGTTTTTATGCAGAGTAGACACAACCAGGCTAAATGGTTCAGTCGCCCCGAATCCATCCATGAAAACGCTTGGCAGCTGTTTCGTTCTACTGGTATGCGCTCCGTAAAGAGGCTTAACCGTTACGTATCCCCTGTCGTCTCCGGAACTGGCGATTCGTCACCGCTACCCTTTGCACAGTGATTTCAGTTGCCGTATCATAACATTATGGTCGGAATTGAGTAAAGTTCACTATTTCCAACGAGTCCCACTCGTGAACGAAACGGCCACTTATGATTTCGGATAAAGGTGGCTGTTTCACTGAATCTGATCAATGGGAATCTACTGGTTTCTAAGGTTTAAGAATTATTTGGTGTTTTTCTAGGCTTTTGTTATGTCCCGTAAGGTAGAACAGCAATGTAATGCGTAACTTACATCTGATCAAGGTGATTGAAGATGCCCTTGTTACCACATATCATGACAAGTAAAGCAAAGCAACCATTCAGTTTCAAGGACATATGGACAGTCCAATGAATGCGGCGAGGCAACTCGATAACAGGGATGAATCAACTTGTCACGGAAAACGCGGTGAAGAAGACAAGCAATGCCTGTAGTTTGTTGGTTGCAAATGCAACGGCAGAGGCTGTTGGTGGTCCGCTTTTCACGACGTGGTTGCTGCCAATTAGCTCCCATGTTAATGGCGCCTGTCGTGATGTTGCATGCTAGCGGCCCTGTCACTAAAATCCGAAAGAGGGACGCTTAATTGTCACTTTGCTTACATATATGAACAGCAGAGCAGAGCCGTTGCCTTTAGTGCAAAGTCCAGTTTGCATAACTTTCATGCCGGATCCTATCTCAATTAGCACTGAGGTGACAGTTGAAATAATTTCCTGTGTACTGACTACCGCAAACTATATGCTCCGTCATAAGTTTACCAATTGTCTAGGGAGGGAGTGGGAAACGGAAAACTGCATGATAATGGTGAAAATTTGTACCCACTAGTGCATTCTTCGCTACGATTGACGGACGAGAAGCTCTGGTCACAATTGTTCCGTCATACTGCGCACATGCCGATGGACGGCCCGGAAGCGGTTCACACTGACCTCCTCAACCAATGTTTCCTCTACATAACCGGATTCTACCAATAAAGGGGCTCCTGAGGCTGCGATATCATGGTGACTGGATATCTTTTCTTAATAAACTCACTTCGTTTCCTCAGGCAAATGTGTCTAAACTAATGCAGCGCAAAAGTTTATTGCAAGATTTCGCTCATTTCTTCCTCGGAAGCTTACACATGATGCAAACCGTTGCTTATTGCAGCGACCGAAAGTATGCATCGCACAACTTCGTGTTGTTGATTGACGCTGTTTTGTGTCCTTTGTTTTAGCTTATCATACTTTTGCTTCTCTCTTTTTCTATTTCACGGTACAGGCTAAATGACCTGAACGCTCTTGGACTCGGAAACGGGAAGCCCCAGTTCCTGACATTCAAACTTGTCGGTATTCGCGAAAGAAAGCAGAAATCCATAATTTGTTACCTTCAACACAATGGCCAGCTTTATCGCCAAACAGTTAATCGGTAGTCAATTAGACTCAGTTAAAGGTAATGCTATGTTCGCATGAGTAATATTAATGCAGCGCTTCACACACTTAGCATAAGATTACCATGATATTTCTAGGTAAGCCATCTTCCATGTTTGGTAGCTCGCGCACTTGATCGTAGAGTAGCGAGGAGTACCCCGCCGAGTGCACGCTATGGTTTTTTACCGACCATTGGAAGTAAATCGTGAACCAAACATGATTCAGCCAACTTGACTGTTTCGTTACTTATCCATGGACTGGAGGTTGATCAACTTAGTCTGCCTAGGAGGCTGTGCAACACATTAGTGGTTTCGTCCGCCCCTTGTGATTCCCACTTTAATGTATACTAAAAGAGGCTCGGATGCGTGGTTAACGACTTATCTTTATCGAAAAAGTCTCCAACTGAGCAAGCTAATTTTCGTATTTAACCGGCATGCGTCTACTGTAATTGCGCAATGTAACAGTAAATCCAAGTCTATTTACTTAGCAGCAGGTTCTAGTATAGAATGAAAACTTGCTTCTGAATATGGCCACGTGCGGCTAGTTTCTGCATCATTTGATGCTCAGTAGCACAAAAAGAGGACCGTCAAATGTGAGCACACTGTACTTTTAAAGCACAAGAAGCCTTACACTTTGTGGAATGTACATCTAAGAGATGCGTACTTTATTTGTAGCCTTATTGTCTGATTGCTGTTGACATTTTGGGACGATTAATGTTGATGATGTGCGAACTTCAGAAAGGAGCGACAGGTAATTGGAAGCCAGAAGAACAGAGAAATCTTCATTGTTGTAAAAGTGACAAAGATATATTGTTCGTGATAAACACCATCCGCTGGTCACAGCTCCACCTAAATGTCCATAGTATCAGAACCCGGTAAAACTAATCGTTGTACTGTCCAACGATTGGTTAGACAAAGATACCGATTCTTGACATCTACTTTCAACTTATCAAATGCAATGTTCCTTCATAATTGCTGGCTTTCAAGCAAGCATGCAGTTAGGTTGGCACTGGAGGTGTTCTTTCTAAGCTACTTTCATTCGTGTGTGCTCCTTGCTTAGCAATACTCCAGCGATTGGAAATTTACTTGACTATATCTGTCAACGTTCATGCTTTACTGTGTCTTCATTTGAATGATTAACAACTTCATTTTACTGACAACCTAGTCTAAGGCTGTTATGCGGCTATGACTTACTAAACACCATGTTGCCAATTTGAGGGACTGCATTATCGTTAACAACTGCATTCACAGCAGATATTTGTCCAAGTGAAGTTAAATAATTGATTCGCTGCAGTCATACCCGCGGATATTCTGCTGCTATTGCTGCTGCTTTGCGTTTCTTTCAGCTCCATTGTCACCGGACTTAGCTTTTGCAATAACGGTTTTCAGTAATTCTCTTTTGGCAGCCTTGATGTTTGCGGAGTACTGTGTCTACAGTACCGCAAGACGGGTATCCGGAAATGATTCATCTGGACAGTCCTAAGTGGTTCTACTTAGTTCCTACACATTCGCACAGATCTTCTGTAGGTCCGGTCGTAAAAGTCGGCTGAGCGGATACTCTTATATTTGTACACAGGAACCAGGAAGCCAGCATTGGTTTAGGGTACCTTTGAGGAGTTCACATACACTTCTACCCAACATGTGCTGATTTCGCCTGAGCTCGTCATCCTTGCACGCTGAGCAACTTACTGTCATGTGGTAATTCAGACCACACAGGTCATAACTGAAACCTTCTCATGCACATCGTTGTTATATTCAACGTAAACTTCCCGGATTCCGCCTAAGTCATTCTCAGTGACACTGCAGTATCTAAAATCTTAAATCGCACTGTCCGGAACGCAGCAGTCCATTCGACATTACTACTACGTGGCAAATGTAACACAATAAAAACCATATTCCTCTATAGTTTATGCAGTGCAATTTCTGTTATTGCGTTATAAATACGGCATGGTGGAAGGCATCTTCGTCTCCGAATAATATGGTAAGTGTACGCTTATTATCGGTCAGTCATTTCTAGCTTTCAGTGCAATTCTGCCGCACTACGTGCGTATCGGCCAGCTTATGGGTCGCCAAACTATGGCCCGCCGGCTGGATCCGCCACGCGATGTCACTTCAATCGACCTGCCGAGTGTACCCGAGTTTGCTTGATAAAGCGTCTGAGACACTAGAAATCGTGTTACAACTAACATTAGACACTGCACTTTGTAGTGCCTGGGACCTTATACTGTTTGATCACTATGGCAAACAACCTCGCAACAGTTACATGTGCACGGTGCAACAGCACTATTAGTGACCGTGCATCACTGAAATATTGATGAGAGTGGTCACGCATAAATAGCCATTCATTCGTGCATGCTACATTGTATCCCTTTTCCTGCACACCTTTGAGTGGCAATTTTCTATTGGTCAGCTCTTTTGGGGTGCATTATATAAAACGCGGGCTATTAGGACACAATTATTTTATGCATATGTCATTTCGAAGATTTATGTGTAAGCTTTTAGGAGGGAAGTGTGCTGTCGGCGCAACTCGTTGAGCTACCTACACTTGTTATTGGTAAATGGATGTAAGTAGTACAACTACCAAATTCAAAAACTGTTTTTTGTTGTCCACTTGGTGGAAACGCTTTTTTCACGCCTTTTAAGCTCGTTGTCTCAAATATCTTTGGCGGCATTTGGCTCCGAATTTGACTGCCACTGTTGCCAGCCACAGGACGTCTGCGCCTACAGAGGGACCATGCGTGCCTTCCGCTGCACCACCCACAGCTCCAACCAAACACCCCATATCCAGTGTAAACCCGAAGGAATAAGACCGGGAGACATGCGGATGGGAGCCATATTTCATCAACGGAGCCGGCCCACACTCCTTCACAGTCAAACACAAGCACGCTGTAGTTGGGAATCAATCGCACACAAGGCGGTGGTTGGACCGTAGTCCGCTCCACACTGAGTGCATGGAACCACTCTTCGAGCCGAGCACGGCCACAAGGACCGTGCATCCCGTTCCCTCCAGCAATGACCAACTGTCTCCTGGAGCCAGTATGGACGAGGTAGTGGGTAATAGACAGGTAGGCACCTTGTCAACATACACATCAAGCGCAGCCACACCGGGGATATCAATCAACAGCCAATCACTTGAAATGACAAGAGAAAATAAAAGAAATCTAATAATGCATACACATACGGTGGCAGAACTCTTCGCTAAATTAGCATATGAAATAAATGCGTTACCAATCTAACCTTGATACATTCAAGGTGGCAAAACAAGGGATCACAGAAAACATGCAACAGACGGGAAAAACAAACAAAAGTAACCACCTTTCGTTTAAGCGATCTGCATAATTTAATATAAGATTACTCAGGTAGACATTAAAGCGGGGTAACAAAATAAGTATTAATACAGCAAACCAAGCACCTTCAATAAAGAAACTCAGCACGCAAGCAAGCGGTTAGTATATCAGAAGCGCATCCGACGTGCTTGCCAACGCTGCACCGGTTCTGTGTTCGTACTCCGCAGGACCTGTCGTCGTTTCGATACTGATCTCCGGTGGTCTCGCTCCTGACTCAATAGGCTTGCGTGAATCAGGCACTCGCGACCGCGTGCTGTAAAACACCAGACGACCGACCTCGATGGAGTACGCTCCATTGGCGCATGTAGCTTCCGCAGCTGCCACCTCTTCTCCGCATGCGCGAGGGCTTTTTCTTCCACCAAGGCAACTGCCTTCGTGATCAGATCGCGCCATGCACTCCGAGCAACCGCTTTCGTTTCCCAACACCAGAAATCAATCTTGGAATGTGATAGGGTCATCCTTATCATGTCCTGGCAAGGAACCTTCGGTTTCCACACTTGCCGCTTCCCCGCACTCAGCTGACCATATAACAGCTGTTTCGGTATCCATGTCGAATCCATACGGCACACATGACCGAGCCACCTCAGGTGTCTCAGCAAAAGTATACTGTCCACTGCATATATGCTACTTCGGCGGAACATATATATATATATATATATATATATTGCTAGGTCTATTTATTTCAGGTGGTGGGTTTTCAATTTTGTCCTAATGCTTCCCTTTCACATATAAATGCCTACTTATACTCTCTTCTCTAAACTTGCACACGTCGCCTAAGCCAGTTTCAGTTAATTACGATAACATTTTCCTGCTTGTGGCATTTCCGTAAAATATACTTTCTTACCTCGTGAACTTACCTCGAATTCTTTTGTAAACGACTTATTTCATATGCTCATTATTTTAAGATTTATGTCACCGTTTCCTTATGAATTGCTCGATTTATTGTCCTTGTTGTCTTTCTCTCAAGTGATTGGCTGTTGATTGATATCCCCGGTGTGGCTGCGCTTGATGTGCATGTTGACAAGGTGCCTACCTGTCTATTACCCACTACCTCGTCCATACTGACTCCAGGAGACAGTTGGTCGTTGCTGGAGGGAACGGGATGCACGGTCCTTGTGGCCGTGCTCGGCTCGAAGAGTGGTTCCATGCACTCAGTGTGGAGCGGACTACGGTCCAACCACCGCCTTGTGTGCGATTGATTCCCAACTACAGCGTGCTTGTGTTTGACTGTGAAGGAGTGTGGGCCGGCTCCGTTGATGAAATATGGCTCCCATCCGCATGTCTCCCGGTCTTATTCCTTCGGGTTTACACTGGATATGGGGTGTTTGGTTGGAGCTGTGGGTGGTGCAGCGGAAGGCACCCATGGTCCCTCTGTAGGCGCAGGCGTTCTGTGGCTGGCCACAGTGACAGGCAAATCCGAAACCGGATGCCGCCAACCATATATATATATATAAACCTTCTTATGTGAAAGATTTTATTATCTAAGTTAACAGTGAAATGTACTTGCGTCTCTGCTAAGCCATAATTCCACCAGTGGCGCCTAGTCACCAGTTTTTCGGTGTGTCAATAGAACTTTATTATTTTGTTATCAATATCTTCTTCCTGTTCAGATCCCCTTTACTTCAACCTCCACTAACGCTACTACGAAAAGATTAGTGATCACTGGTTGTCGCGTTCTCTTTGTCATTTTTGTCAGTACTTTCGTTCTGGCTTGTATGCACTGGCAGTTATCCGGCACGCTGCGAAAATTATTTGGGGACCACTGGTCTGCTGCTCCAGCTCGCGTGCACACACGTCGGGCGACTAAGTCTGTTAGGTCCTGTCAATTTAAATTTATTGCGCGGAGTTCTATCAGAAAATGCCTTCCGTCCGTTCCTACTAGAAGAGTCGAACTAACTAGAGTCTAGACATGAAGTACTACCAGTTTACCAAGTCTTCTGGGTAGAAAAAATCATGCTTCCAACGCTGAAACGTGTAAATGGTGTTGCTAACTGCCTCCATAGAGGCCACATTACATCTCTGTGCGCAGTTGATTTGATGATATATTGCAATAGGCTTCGAAGTGCGTAAGCAATAGAAATGCTCGTGATACCCCTTCACATCATTCACAACCGATACCACTTGCATTGCGAATTAATGCACTAGCACCATGGTTGTTTGCGCTGCACATCCTCCTCCAAGGCTGACCTCATCAATAACGCATCATAAAAACTAGGCACCTGGTCAGTATTTTGTTTATTGTTTCGCTTTTTTATTTTTCGCTGCTACCTGATTAACTTTTATTGCGCCACAATAGCTAAAGTGTGGAATGATGATGGTGGAATCTTAGGCTATCAAACGCAAATTCTGTTCTTGTACTGGCATGGAACTGGTTTAAAAATCAGTTTTCAATTTAGGAACTCCATAGGTATAAAACGGCGATAACTGGACACGGCATAAAGGTTAGTCTTGGGTACACAACAGTCTAATTGGTTGGATTCTTTTACAACAAAATATATCCCTGAGCCCTCATTAATCAGGGAGTCACGCAAGGTGATGAAACCAGCAGCGGTAGAAGTCGTGTCTAAACTCCCCATCATGTGTCCCTCTATAAATATTCAGATGCAATCCATTCTTCTCCTCTTTTAGTGGTGCCATTAAATAAAAGTAGGTTTCAAAGTTTTTCTGTCACTTGATGGTAAGGTGAATGCTAACTCCTTGGCTGGACACAAAATGGTCTTTGGGCCATGGGATTGACCGCGCGGATGGGACTGTGAGTGCTTCCTCTACCCCGACGACACACGTGTTGCCGTTTATGCTACATTTACAGCAAGTGAACTGAATGCTTAAGATGCGTGGTTATTTGCCAATCTCACATCTCGCCATAATCAACTCTTTGATGCAACTAACTTAACCAGGTGCCCTCGGGGATAAGAAGGATGACGATGGGGGTAGTGGAAGCCGAACAATCGATCCCGAAGTTGAGGCGGCGATCAGGGAAGCAGAGGAACGTCGCGAAGCAAAGCATCAGAAAATGGAAGAGGAACGTGAGATAATGCGTCAAGGCATCCGGGATAAGGTGAGCATCGAATTATCCGTTTCTAATTAACTTGATCTTCTTTCGTAATGGATTCAAGCATAAGTATGCCCCAGCATTTTATTACACACGCCCGTTAAGATGCCGAAATTGGAGGAAAGGCAACCCATATTTTCCACTCAGGACAACGTTGCCAGAAATGATAGTGTGAAGTGGAGCAGGGTGTACGAGTTTTCAACCACGTATGCGGCGTGATTGGGCATGAAATGACTCAAAATTGAGATCGTAAAGGCAACGGATAAACGACCAAATAAAGGCATACCCATTAGTAAGGCTTCTGACAACCGTATCAAGTGATTGGTCAGATCACGAATTTTTCTGTCCTTGACTAGAAGGTCCTTCGAATAGACAATTTCTGTTGTGACAAGAACTAATCGATTCCGGAGTTTAAGCGTAAGATCACTTTGAGTTATCAAGGTTCCATCTAAAATGTATAGCGGAATGAAAGTTTGTTAAGGGTAAAGAACCAAGCGCTCAGCAAGTCCCTTTGGATGGCTAGAATTCGAACCACCAAATTGGAAAATGTAGACTAGGTAAGGGAATGGAAAGGAAGGCATTTTGGCAAACTCGTTATAGAACTCACACGAATTTGCCTATAAATCCTCCTACCTGAAATGCGTGGAAGAATCTTGGTGAACGCAAGGCCAGTCACACTGCACCGTCTCCCCATGTACGTAGATGGTATTATGTAATACCTATGGGTTGGTGCCACATCAAAACTATTTTAAACACGGAGGAGTTGGCGGCGGCGGAAGCAGTTTATTTGAACAGGATGTTCCATGGCTGCCCACAGGAAGATAAATAAGTTTGCGGCGACTTTCCATCAGACTGCGCTACGCGGCCAACTCAGACTGGTGACCCTCAGGTTCATGTTTCAGCTTAGTTGCAAAAGGAAGCGACAAACGCGGTTAGGGTTACTCAAGACCTCTTTATTCTTAACAAACTTACCCAGCACACCGATACCGACCGCAGTACTATACTTCTTTCCTTCATTGGAAAGAAAAAGACGTCTGCGTTGTAGTCCGAAAGGTATCAGTTCAAGTCTGCGTAGCCGAGGCAACCTGAAAGTATACATAACCCGCGCGCAGCCGGCAATGGTCGTAGTGTAACAAAGCGTCGGTAGGACTTACCGGCATACTGCTGTTGTCTTTTCACCGGAGAGCAGCTGAAGCATAAGGTTTGCGGAATTGCACTTAGCCCAATTTCATTCTTCGCGATGAACATCCATTAGAGCAAAATATCTTTTCCCTTGTTTGTCTGCTGTCTTGGTCGCTTTTTGAGTAGTTTGAAAGTCACCTGCTGTTGTCTGTAATAGCTGCAATTCTTCACTCTGTTCTTCTCGCGTTATTAAAGTCAAATATCTTACTGAATCATCCAGATCTACGACAACAGAGAGTGCCCTAGTCATCGGAGCAGTGGTTTATAACAACTAAAAGAAAGGTTTGACAACAGCCCATGTGGGTCAGAATAAAAATACTAGAGGAAAACACAATATTAATAACATAACGCGCGTGTTGTTGTATTCATCAAAGGGTCTGTGTCAACGTAGATGTAAGTACTCCAACCACAATTTTTTGGGCGGGGACTTAGGAGTAAACCGTTTGTTCTGCGCTAACGTTATTATTTCACTGGTGTGCGCTATGTTCTGTAATGTGTCTACGTGAATGTGCCTTCAAGTTGCATCTTTAACTGCGACACCGTGGGCCATCAAAAGTTCGTGCTGGAATTTTCCACGGGTATATTGTGTGGTCAGATATAAATGATAGCGCCTCAGGGAGAGGTTTTAGTTTACTTTAAAAAGGAAGGAACACGATTAGTCGGAATTTTTTACACTTCCACTTAACTCATTATCAGCTCGCTCCGTAGAAGCTGGTGACGTCGGATACACACTCTTAGTTTTTCCAGCCATAGTTCGCAGACAAGGCTTAAGTCAACCCACCGCTTTGGTTGAGTCGGGGAAACTTACAAATGGTTAAACTAATATTCAATAAGTCAATTATTCATGAGGTGTCATGGTTCAAACCGGATACACTTCTGTGTTTCGTTATCAGGCCCTGGTTGAGTAGATTACTCATGATATGACCTTTTGTGGACGTACTTACAGCTTAGAGAAAACTTATGCCGATGAGATCTAGCTTAATGGGAACAAAGTTTGGCAAAAATACTGGTTGGCTGTCTAGTTCTTTTGAGGACAACTGGCAACTAGGCTTCTTTCGATTAGCTAGTGGAACACTTGACGCAAATTAGCAGAGACAAGTATCCGCGCCCCATTGGAAGTTAGGGACGGACTTGTTCTGACAACTAGTGGGGAAACGGATTAGAGGGTCATTTTGAAGCGCAGGTTGTGTGATTGGATTGTGAAGCGCAATCTCAATGTAGACCGTGATTGGCACTGATGTAAACCTTAGTCTATTCGACCACTAAGACCATAGCTTGTGGAGCAGAAGGAAGCTGGGTGTTAATTGCCCAAAACACTGCACATCAAGACACCTTTTTACCTCGTTTGAACTTATCAGGTGGATGTAGGTAACGAACCCTGGACCATTGGAATAGAGGCGGAAACTTCTGCCCCTTTGGCTACCGGGTTACGACGGGCGACGATTGTCACAACAGTTACTGACTGATTGTAGGATCACTCTGAAGGAATCGTGGTGTGAATGGATTGCGACGTGTAATCTCAACGTAGTATGCGCTTCATATTGAAGTAACTACTGGTCTCTGCGATCACTAGAGCCGCAGCGGAAGCACATAGAAATCGGGTGTTGTTTGCAAGTAAACATCGCACTGCATCTAAAATTCATTTATTACATTAGGTACGGTCACAATGATTGCAGTGAGCAAGGTTCACTTCAATGTTACTCGCAGTCCACATTGAGATAGCGTGTCGAAATCCATTCAAACAACGAATACTTCAGAAGCACCCTCTAATCTGTTCTTGCCCGTGGTGTCAAGCTTAGGGGTAAAGTTCCCAACTAATTTCTTAATTGTCCCCATATCGAGGCCTACTAACTCTACCTGATGGTACCAAATAAGTTCGAAACGCGTCCTTGAAGAAAGGGTAAGCTGATGCCCATTTCGGGCATTTACATCATTTTACTCTTTTACAAATAAGGTTCATGCAGAAAAACACCTCAACTGCAGCTGGGATTTGACAGTTTTCTGTTTGACAACTCTCCGCGAAATGGTTTGGATGTTTCTTCCTTGACGACAGTTGGACTAGTTCTCAGCAAGCCCATTAGATGGTGTATTTTACTATACTAGTGCATACAGCATAATAGCCGTTTCATGCGTCTAGTCTTAAAGTTGCATATGAAAGGTACTAAGGCACCTACTTGCAGTTTGTCTCAGATTTGGCGAACGAACAATGAAATGAGATCGAAAATTTACCACAATCTTTCGTTCCTATCCCGTATACATGGGACGCCAGTGGTCTAGCGGTGATATATCGGACGCAATTTTCACTCCTGTCTTCCTTAAAGGTATCTATCATATTGATGATTGCTTCTGCAACCTGCTAGAGGCAGATGCGATCCCAGGAAACGAGTCTATTCAGACGACAGGTTGCCGACAGGTAACATAAGCTTCAGAGGCAGTGAGACAGCCAATTCACCATCCGTTTGTGCATTGAGATACCTCTGTTTGTAGGAGTTTATAGTAGTTCGCATCCACAGCCGGAAACGCTTCATATCGGACAGCAATTAGTAGAAACGCTTCTCCTCCGATGGAAACACATCTAGCTAGGGGACCCAGAACTGTGTAGATTGAGCATACAAAATTGTATGGTTATTCGCTAGACCGTGTAAAGAGGATTTTATTCCATGCCCGTTTGAGACATTTACTGGGGACTAAATGATTTAGTATTTGATTACATTAAAATGTTACTTAACCAAGTCGGTAACAGTTTTAGTAGAATTTTAACTTCTCTTGGTTAAAGCTGTGACTTATGGTACAACTGCAAGCTTTGAGGAGGAGCGTCGTGCCGTTAAAATAATCATAAGCAGGCTCATTTGGGTAGCTGTCACACATGCGAAGAGGCGACATACTTCCGTTTGCCCTAGCCCAACAAATCAGCATGTTTCTCTTTCACAAACACCGCGACCTCCCTCGAGTGAGGCACCACAAGATTAATAACAGCATAGCAAGATTGCGTGACTATGCATGAATCTGGGTCCCATAAAAGAGAAACAGTCACTCAATATTTTTCGAATATGTGGCAATAAAGTAACTGAGTTTATTCACGGCTGAGTTTGTTCAGGTATGCTTAACACTATGTAAAACGGTAGGCCGTCAAACTTCCGAATGTGAAATTTGAACCAGCTGCCACAACCTAACTTAAGTGACAGTTACTAAAAGTAGTTTTCTAGGAGCCAACGGGCCATCAGATTAGGGAACGAGCCGTGTGGTATAAAAGCGCTCAGTGCGTATAGGGGGCCAAATATCCATCAGACAGAGGGTCTTCGCAAACACAGTACTAACATTTTGGATGATTGCCTAGAGGGTCGTTTTGAAGCCCACATTGTGTGAATGGATTGCGACGTGCAAAATATATTTTATATCGGCTTAGACAGGAGGATTGAAATACAAGTGAAATACAATCGAACAGTAGTTTTGCCTAGAATGCGTTTCAGAGGAGATCAGGCCATTTTAATTCACTTCGTGTAATATCTGCGTTCCGTTTGTTTAGTTTTTACTAATCGTGTGTTTGGTAACTTTGAATAGGCGGTGAGTGCAAATCTAGTGCAGGATTCTTCACGTTCTTAACGTCTTCCACCTTTTTGGCCGATAAGTCAATGTCAATGTAGCCACCTTAACGACCCATCGCAATGAGGCTGGACCTTACCGTGGTGTGATGGTTTGTGTGTCTCAGTGCTCCATTGAGCTGGGCTGGGTAGTGCATTTTGGCGCCTTCAGAGTCACTTATACTAGATTGGTCAATGGTTAGAGGCCAGACAAACTCAGTCTCATGGTCCTCCAGGTTGGGG